GCTTTGGGCAATAAGTGAATCTTGTTAATCTTGACGGACTATGGTTTTGCTTTGATAGTTGGATCTGATTTAGTGAGCATCATAGTCAGTTAAAGTCTGCTTTTTTCATCATATTTCATAGTTGAGGTCAATTTTCTACATTTCTGGATTTCTCTATTAAAGTAAAAAAAACTTGTGGTGCTTATCGGCTACTGTATTTTGTTTGAACTTCTAATGATTAAAGCAGAACTATAGGTGATTGGAACGTGTTTTGCAATTTTTTAACATTTATCTGCTATCTGGACACTTATGTAAAACGTTACATTTTTCACGCATTCAAGCTCTAAACTAAAAAGGAAGAGGAGGTACTCAAATAACTTGATTTTCTCTACAGAATTGCTATAAGCATGGTGTGATGCATCATGATCTCAAGCCTGAAAATTTCTTATTCGCAAACAAAAAGGGAACATTGCCGCTTAAGGCCATCGACATTGGGTTATCAGTTTTTTTCAAGCCAGGTAATGTCCAGCACTACCTGTCTACTTGTAAATTTACCCTTCTCATTGTTCTAACTAATTTTTACGGAAACTTTGCAGGTGAGAGATTCAACGAGATTGTGGGGAGTCATTATTATATGGCTCCAGAGGTGCTCAAAAGAAATTACGGACCTGAAGTCGATGTTTGGAGTGCGGGTGTTATTCTCTACATCTTATTGTGTGGTTTTTCCCCTTTTTAGGCTGGTCAGTTCTTCTAATCTATATTGAGAATCCATCACTGTTGTCCTATATCTGCCAAAATAAATTAATAATATTAAATAATAAAATGTGATAAAAAAATGCAGTTCTATTTTGTGTTGTTATTGAATTACTAATAGTTTAGTTTCTGGTATGTTTTTTAGAGGTGTCTGAAGCAAGTATGAGAAATAATGATTATTTACTTACTCCTGCACAAACATGGGCTAATGTTTATGCAGTTATTTCTCCCATTTTTTGCATAATATTGTTGACATAAATTGTAATCTTAATTCACAGAAACTGAACAAGGTGTTGCCCAAGCAATCATGCGTTCGGTGGTGGATTTTAGAAGAGATCCTTGGCCTAAAGTTTCTGACTGGGCAAAAGATCTTGCGAAGAAGATGCTCAACCCGGACCCCAAACAGCAGCTTACAGCTCAAGAAGTTCTAGGTTAACTTAGATATCTCTTGGAGAAAAATATATTCTTTTTTTCACATCAACATATATTTCTTTATCCATGTTTGAAACTGCTTTGTTTCAGATCATCCTTGGTTACAGAATGCAAAGAGTGCTCCTAATGTTTCTTTAGGCGAAACTGTGAGATATAGGCTCTAACAATTCTCTATGATGAATAAGCTAAAGAAAAGATCTCTGACGGTAATAATAATTTACAACACAATTTACGTCTGTTTGATCAAATTTTGTCTTCTGTATTATTATTTGTTGTTGAATTGCTTTTTCCGAATTCAGGTGATTGCCGAGCATCTTGGAATCCTTTCTCCAAAGCCTGAATCCGAACAACGAGGACTGGGCAATTCCCAAGAGAGAGGACTCTCGCCCAGCCCTACCTACATCAGTGAAGCTGGAACCGAGGTCTGTGGAGGAAGTGGCTTGAATCAAGGAGAAATTTCAATTTAAAATCGACATTAATGAGTTGAGAGAAAGGCTTCACAAGCTTGGGCATCAAATCCCTGAAGCCGGTCTTCAAGCCCTTATGGAAGCTGTGAGTTATTTTTATTTCTTCTCAATCTTTGAAAATAACCGAAGTTCATAAGAAGCTAAGCTCTCTCTTTCATATTCTCCCGAAATTGGTCTCGCGTTTTTTTTCTTCCTTTTACGATGATGTAACAAGTTTTGATTTTGTAACAGGGTGATGTGGATAAAGATGGATATCTCGATTGTGGAGAGTTTGTTGCGATATCTGTACACTTGAAGAAAATGGGCAATGACGAGCATCTCAAGAAAGCCTTCGATTTCTTCGATAAAAACAAGAGTGGATACATAGAAATCGAAGAGCTGAGGAATGCCTTTGCTGACGAGGCGGAGGCAATAAGTGAGGAGGTTATCAATGTCATTATTCAAGATATCGACATAGATAAGGTCTGTTAATTTGCATTCTACATTCCGTTAAATAATAAGAAATAAAAAAAAAATTAAAGAAAACTTATATTGATGGCGACGTGTAAGTTGCACTAATTTGTGAAAAAACCTGGATTAAATTCTTTTTGTTCTACAGGACGGGTGAATAAGTTACGACGAATTTGCAGCTATGATGAAAGCTGGCACTGATTGGAGAAAGGTTTCAAGACAATATTCGCGCGAACGCTATAACAGTCTAAGCTTGAAACTGATGAAAGATGGGTCTTTGGATATGAGCAGTGAAGTTAGATAACCTCAAAAGGAACATCACAGTTTGCTTAACACAGTTAACTCATTACATGGAATGAAGAAAAAGAATTTGGGTTTTAGTTCTCTGTTATTTTTATTATTTTTTTAACTATTTTTTTTTTGTTTATATTGTTTCTATATCATACCGGTTTTGAGGTGTTTATTTGGGTGGGGAGAATGGCTTGGTATATGTAATAATCAGTGTATGTAATTATGATGTTTGTTTGCTTGCTGCTGTGTTTTTTTATTAATAATGTTTTCGTCGGAATTTACCTTTTTTCAGGTGTTATGAAGGGAATTTTGTTAAATGTCTATAGTTATATGTACAGTGCTAAAACATAAATTAATATGTGCAATTTGGCATCTTCTTCAGCCAAAAACTTTTGCATGGCTGATGTGTTATGTTGGTACAAGAGATTAACTAAGTTATGTTCTTGTTTTTTTAATGCATTTTTAGAATAATGTACTATTTTTTCCTTAATTTGTCGGAATTGATTGTTTGGATAAAATTTATTGTATAGGTAATCATCGGACACAGGTAAAAACAATGGATGAGATAAAGTTGTATGAAATCGTGCGGGAGGTGCTTGAGATGATTGAGCTGGATGAACTAAAGGATGCATTGGTGGGGCTTCCAAGTGTGTAAGAACTGTTGACCGAGTAAAGGAAGCGGCTCAGGATCTCCTTATAACTCGTGCCCAAGCCCTTCACTACTTTCAACGGAAAACCATGGGTATTGGAGAAGTAGATGATCTGCAGAAGGTGAAACGAGTGGTCGCCGCTACGTACATTCACTATTCCGACCCACGGTGGGTGGATTACTGGTCAAACGTACTCATCCCACCCCACATAGCCTCCCATAACTATGTCGTCAACCACTTCAAGCACAGTTCTACCATCGCTAAATCGTATGTTTATTTTTCCACCTTATAGCTCTTCAGTTTATTCGGATTTTAGGGGACTTACATATTTATGCTATCTGTTATCTTAGATATGTTGGTAATTTAACAAAAAATGTCGTATTGGGAGTGATAATATGGTGAGAGACCATCGAGAATATTGTCCTGTGTGGATGGTTTAGAATATTCCTAGGGAGTTATAAATTTGTGTATTCATAAGACCACTTGTTTATTGTTCCTCAAAAATGTAACTGTTGACTGCTTGAGCTTAGTCACATGATTTTGTTTCCTATTATTCCTCACTTTTTTGCCTGTGATTGTAGAATATGATAATTCTTTGGTAATGCTTTAGCTATGGCCAGGTGTAGACAAATCGTAGTTTCAACAAGCAATTTACTTACTGAGATGAGAATTGAATTATGGGTTTTGGGTGTAGTTTAGATTGATTGAGTAATAAATATTATAAAAATGTATATCAGGATTGGGTTTTATTTTAAATTCGGCCTTGATAAAATTCAGATGGGAAAATGTGAGATGAGTAATATATGTATTTTATGTATAGAAAATTATCTTGGTTATGAACAGTAGAAAATATTGATATCCAATAAAACCTTGTGCATCTAGGATGTGGTTGTTATGGGTTTGCAAAATATTTTATTTTGAGTGGTGCAGTTATTAATTTGTTATTGTTATGAATTTTTTCTTGTTATTTATGTTTTGCTAATTTGTTGTGTCAATATGTAGGCCCCTGAACTAATTGTGGAGCCAATAGATGCTTGCGGCACATCTCAGCCAGCGAGAGCATCTACCCCGCCATCACAGTCTTCATCTACTTCTAATAGCAATACGCACCAGAGGACTTCTGGTCTGAATCTTGTTTCGTTCCTGATAGTGCATTTCAAAATTTTCATTTCCTTTTGTTTTGCTTAGTATATTTGACCAAAAAATTACTTGATTGCAATTTGTAGGCTCCTCGACTAGAACTTCAGAAACACCAGCTCCCCCTCCCAGTGCGAAATCATTCCGCTGGGATCAACAGACTGTTCAATTTTCTGTCAATGCTTGGTATGTCATACTCATTAAATGCTCAATTCCAATGTAGACATGTTTTGGGAGAATGCAAGTTTTTATTGATGTTTATTGTGTTGTTCTGCGGGTCAACGACTTCTATTGAAAGTTGAAACCAAACAACTTTTGGCTTCTCCCTCTCTCTCTCTCTCTCTCTCTCTCTCTCGAGTTTTATGGTTGGGCCTTTAAATTAATACGCGCTAGGTAATGGTTATTGCACTCATTACTACACTTCCTAATTGTTTTCATACCCAAATGTTGGGTGGTTCATTGCTTTTAAAATTTTGCATGGCCATGACATTGTGGAATTTATGAGGACCAAATTTCTTCCGACTGTTCAGATGTTATGAAGCAATATGAGAAAAGGCAATACTTAGTTGCAAGCAAAATTTGTGTACATTTTATTTTTTTTCTTGGGTAAAAGGACAAGCAATATACGGGAATCCAGCTTCCATGGCATGCTTTAGATATAAGTAGTCAAAAAAGCTGCTGCCAGAAAAGAAAATCCAAAAGGCCCCAAAACTTGTGGACTCTGTCAATGAAAGGTCATCCCTACTAAACCTACATTGTCCTTTTTTCTTATTAATTTATTAATTTAGTTACTATTGACGTACGGAAAAGAAAGTTAATTAGAGCCAAAGTCTTGGAGATTAACTGAAACCTAGAAATCGATCACTGATCTAGTTTGAGTACCTTTACAGGATAGACCTCAACAGAAAACTGAAGAGTAACGGCAGCAAGCTCATACTTCGGCCCTTGGATATCGACTCTACCCCTTCACCAGGGTTTTCAGTTCAAACCAACCTAGAAACCCTTGCCTACGCATAAACTTAGTCAGATGGTTCTCATCCAACGGCTCAAGGTGGATCCGAAGGAAGCACTAAAAGTGAGATCATGCTGCACTTCTTTTCCTTTTGAGGGGTGGCAATCACTCATGCAGTTCGTGCAATCAAATGAATGCACCAATATATACTGTGCAAATTTCAATGAATTAAATCTATAAGTATCACTACAATTTAAGTTGAATAATTTCACACAACTTTAAAGTTGTATAATTTCGTTCAATAGTTTTTTTTTTTTAAAAAAAAAAACGCTTTTCAGACATCCCCAAAGAAAAAATGTCAGTGTAAACTAAACTTTCATCCTAGTTATTTTTAATACCAAAAACTTATACAAAATTACAAATGACTTCACCCAGCTCAGATTTCAACAAATAAGAGAACAAACACGAAAAAACACAAAACTTAAATTAAATTAAATTTACTTTTGTTTACTAAAAAGGCTGGTGGTATTTATAGGTTCGAACATCCCACGGCGAGAGCGAGTATATGCTTGCATCACGATAGAGTTCGAATGTCTACACTTGGACAAAGTGGAAGGTGTTACAGCGATTCCTCTAGAATATACATTTACAACAAATTAATTACTATTTTATTTTTTGGATGAGGATGGCATTTCCTATTGTTTATGTATCGAATCTTGCTCGCACAAAAATAGAATCATTATTATTATTTCCAAAGGTCACAATTGTTTTTAATTCTTCTTGCACGATACCTCCCACCACCGGATCCAATGTACGACAAAAAAATGAAAGAGAAAGACAAGTTTTCTACTATTCTCATATTTGCATTTAACTAATTTTAATGCAAGTCTTTTGTTCAAGTTCGTGGGGTTATAACCACTACCGAAATTCAAAACACCAAAATCTTAAAACATTTCCATAAAGACAAAAAGACACAATATATGTGAACAATTGCAACATACGTTGGAATAAAAACTACAACAACTTATGACAAATTTCACTGTATTTTTAGACCGGATTTAAGGCTGCCGTGCGTGCACGGCGTATGACCACTAGTGTATATATATATATATATCTTATATATATACAAACGAGTTTGGACCTTTCTATGGCTGACACGTGTCCGATTTTGTGTTCTTAAAAATTGACACGTGTCCTCTTTTTATTACATTTTTGTCACTCCTTTGGTGTCCAATTTTCTGCCTTATCTGTGCGGGGGTAATTTTGTATTACGTTTTTGCTGACTGGTCGAGAATCCCTTTCACACGCAACAATCACGCCATATGAAATCAACCGACTTACTTTTTCTCCTCTCGCCCCTCAAAATCAGGCTGTTTTGAGCGATTTGTTGCCCCGAATATCTGCAATTCGCCTTCTTCACGCAACCTTCACTGTACTCTCTCATTCAATTCTTAAGCATCATAAATGTTCACTTCGTCTTCAATCTCACCTACTGCGTTTCTCTCACTTCTTCCCCTTCAAAATCACAGCTCACATTTTTCTCTCTATCTCAGGAGCAAATGAAGATTAGGCGCCCAACAATTCGAAGGTAAGATTCACCCAAAAAAACCCTAACTGCAGGAAGGAGAGGTGCTACCCACCGCCTCTGGCGCCGATGATCGGCGCGATCTCACTGCAGGTGGGCTCTGCTACAAGAAGGTGGTCGATCATCATCGTCCGCGTCAATTTTTGAATTCGGATTCAAATCGGTTCTCGAACCCAAAACTGGTAAAGTTTCCCTGGCATTTGTCTTAGATTATTCATCCCGTGATTATATTTTTCTCCCTTCCTTACCCATATGGTTAAACCATGTGAAAATATAAATCCATTTCAATTCCTTTCGTAGATATTTGTTGATCAAACTGAAAATCCACCATGCCGTTAAGACAAATCTCAGGTCAAATCTGTAAGATCCTGTGAAACCCACCTCAAGAATTATATTTTTGCGAATTTTTCTTTTTTATTTTGTTTTGTGAATTTTGCTTAAAATGTGGTCAATTCACATTGGTCGATAATGGAGAAAAGAATTTGGTGCAGACTCAGACCAGAAGGCTCGGGTTCTACTGCGTGATGTGATGGAGAAGATGAAGCCATTCTTAATGGCATATGAAGGGATTGAAAGAAGAGTGGGAGGTGAAGCAGCATGTAACATCCCGACTTTTACTGAAATCAGAGTACGCGATTTTTCGCAATTTTCTGTATAAATAACTAAAATACTTAATTTTGCGAAAACTGATTCGGGATGCTACCGTGAAAAACTTGATTTTTCTGAAAATCGTTAAAATTCTAAACTGATAAATAAAGACGGTTTATTGTCTTATCCGACTAATGTCGGAACAAAAACTGATAATAAGTACTGAAAGTTTTAGCGGAAATTACTGCGTGGCAAAACATATATACAATAATCACAAATAACCTGAACAGCCCACCCGCTCACTCCTCGTCTCCGACCCTGCGCCCTGAAAAACATGAAAGGCGTGGGGGCGTGAGCACTAAAATACTTGTGCTCAGCAGAAACTCATACTAATGTAAACATTGTAAATAATAACAATATCATGATCTAAGCATATATAACTGAACTGAAACTGATATCTGATACTGGTCTGATCTCGCGACATAAATCACGTAACTGATAACTGAAATCTGTCGGCAAAAACTAATACCGCAATCTCCCGGCAAACTCATACCGGACCATGTGCACACTCTAGTGGTTAGATTAAGCCACTAGAACCTAGAATGGACTGGCGACCATTCTGAGCGGATACTGAATATACATACCTCGAACATGGTAGCGTAATTATAAACAATGTAGTACTTAGTCTGAGTCCCCACCTGAACTGCTGAAACTGAAACTGAATGGCATTGCTGATGTCTGATAAAACTGAAAATAATATAAACAATTACTGTTGACTATGCTCAGACTGATAATTTAACTGATTAATTATGTTAAGATGCTCTACTGAACCTGACATGATATTCGGACTTATTCGGTATAACTGAAACTGGCTAAGTACGAAACTGAACTGTTATGAATTAACTGAACTGAAACTGACCCGGAAATTTAGCTGAAAATTACACTGAAACATAAAACCGGGACTGAAATCTGATAATAGCTGACTGAACCGGTCCAGCCGGTCTGAACCGGTCTGG